CGGAGGTCTGAGCAAGGGTGGGAGAGGACCCACGGGAGAAGGCGGTGACCTACCTTCCGGGGGCATTTTCTTGGCAGGGGCAGATGGAGGTGGCAGGGGCACCAGGCTGGTGACACGGAAGCCGGCGGGCAGCGTCTCGGCTGAGCCACTGAGCATGTTGATGCTGTGCACGTCTCGTGGGCGGAAGCGCTTTCGCCAGGACGGGGTTCGACGGAAGGTCTTGTCATCGCCCTGCGAGGGAAGAGCAGGTTACAGGCCCTGTGAGATACCAGCACTGCTTCCACCTAACAAGGGTGTGCCTGTACATGGAGACCCACTCAAACCGTGCAGAAGTGTGTGATCAAATTGGGTCAAGGGCATAGGAGACCTCTTTGGGATCCCATGACATAGACTTTATCCTTTCCAGCTTGCCTATCTCTTCTCTCCAGCCTGTCTGCAAAGATGCCTTGGAGACATCAACACACAAGCCCCAGTAAAGCCCCAAGGGATGCATCTAACCCTGTCCAGATAATGGCATCTGGAAGTGCCTGCTTCTCTCTGTTCTCTAAAGAGAGCTCTGGATAGCTCTGCTACCATATCTCATGGAGGAAAGCTATACATAGGAGACATCTAGATGAATTCCCACCTTCAGTGACTCAACATGAACAGTTTTCTGGCTCCTTAAGGGGGCATCTCTAACCCGCCAGCTTTACCCGCCGCAGATGTGTCATGCCCACAACATCTGTGACTCTAAAGGGCAACACGAAAGCAGCTGGCCAGGAAAGCCAGGTGAGCCTACTTGAAATTCAGCCCAGTGAGCATGAGGCTAGAAATGATGCTCAAGATTATTCCTCCCCTGCCTCCACAGCCTGGCAGCACGTTCCTTGGGGCCTTGTCTAATAGTTTTAGCTTATTCCACTGATACTGCTCATGCAACTGCTCTAGAGACATACTATTTGACACTCCTGGACAAGGAAGAAGAGAGCAGAGGTCCTGCCTCTCCTGTTCCTTGCACAAGAACAGGCGGTCAGCCTGGTCGGGACATGGGAGAGGTTGGGTACTCACATCGTCCAGCCTCCGATCTGTGCCCAAGGCGAGCAGGTTGTTGAACTCCCGCTCCAGCACTTGTCGAGCCTGAAAAACAAAACACAAGCATTCTCTGTCGATGGAAACAGTTTCCAGCACAGTCTCCCATCCCAGGAAAGCCTGAGAATGACAGAGAAAAAGCCCATGCGCCATCTGAGTGCTCTGCTTTGAAAGGCAGAGTTGAGTTGGTGGGTCTGGCGGAGTCACGCCGCAGCCGTGTCCCACGCTGGCCACCCTCCTCCAAAATCCTCTAGGGATGCTGCTCTTACCTGTGTGTTCTGTGTGGGGATTTGCAATACAAGTGCCAGACTGTTGTGGTCGAAATTTTCATCGAGGGCCAGGAGCGCCCCGTGCACCCCGCTCTCAACGAGGTTGTTTGCATACTCGCGAAGACCGATGGATTGGATCCAGTGAATGACCTGGTCATTGGTCCACACCAACACGTCTGCAAAAGACCGAGGGCATGGCTAAGGGCCAGCTCAGACCATGTTCTTGGTTGTGCAGGGACCTGATGATGTCGTGAAGCCCTTTCACGCTGCCCCAGGCTGATCCTGGGACTCTCCTTCCCCAGCCAGCAGCAGCACTGGCTGCTCAAGTGGCAGGAACAGCTCACTTCAATTTACCAAACTAAATGCTGAAATAACAGGCAGAAAACAACTGTGAAAATTAATCCTAAGAACCCACGGCTGCTGGTGTAATTAGGGGCATTATCAATAATGAGATGTAATCTAAGCAGCAGCCAGATGCGCAGGGAATCTCAGGACAGCCAGCAAGGAAGGGGAGGCTGAGCAAACTGGGGGATGTCCTGAGCATCTGAAATGGGCAGGAAAACGATCTGATGCTCAGACTGGATCTTTTCTCTCTTAACACCCTTCCCCCCTCCTCATGCCTGACTAGAGTAAGCTGCATAAAGGCACTTGGAGCAATTTTTTGGGGAAATACTGCAGGGAGGTCCCCCCTGGAGAACAGCCCCGTGGGCATGGTTGCTCAGAAATAACCGTTTCCCCTAGGCAAATGCTGTGTTAAAAACAAGGGACAGGAGAGAGACCATCACTGAGCATCTCTTGGGAGGTTTCTTATCTCCTTTTCCAGACCTGGATCATGTACATGGCTGCTGACCTTTGATTTCGTGTTGGGTCTCTTCTCGCCTCCTCTCCAGCTCTTTGCGGTCGTAGTTGAGCCTCTTCAGGCACATGATGCCGTACTGCAGGCTGGTGCTGCAAGGACACAAGATGTCACCCAAACCTCAGAGGGGTTCAGCCGCACGGGGCAGGGGGCTTGGAGGGACCCATGGAGGGACCCACTTCCCTGCTTGCTCTCCATGTGCCCAAAGGATGCTTCGCCTCAGGATTGGGTCAGGACAGACACAACCCAAAGGGAAGATCTTAGCTGGAAAATGGGGAATGTCCCTCCCTTCCCTGGTAATTCCCCACTCCAGCAGTTTTACCCTCTTCTACCTACCTGAGAGCACATGGATCCAAATAACCATATTCCACATATTCGGCTGCTCCAGGCCGAAGGGTTCATCCCCAGAGCAAGAAAGGCCCTGGCAGGCCCATGGACACAGCCCCATGGGTCAGGGTGGGTGGTTGTACCACATGACAGGGCTGGATACTGGTGCCTGAGCAAGGCATTTGGGATGGCCTAAGCCTTCTCCAAGCTGGGCTGCTGGCAGATGACTGCTCTGCCTGCTGGTGGGGTACCAGGTGGGATGAGCCTTTTATTTTTGCCTGTGGTTTGCTCCACGGCCAGGAGAAGGCTTGGTCCTCTGCAGTTTTGCTGCAAGGAGTGTGATGAAGGAGAACATTTGCCCATATGAGCTGCCCCAGACCAGGTGGTTGAGTTCAGCCTAGAAGTGCCATCCTCCAGCACCAGGGCTGGCCAAGACAGGGGAGAATCCTTCAAATTGCCCCATCCTCTGCTTCATGTGCAGACACTGCACCCCAGGGACCTCCTGAAGGAGAGGACTCACCGGTGGAAGCTGTCTACCATCTTCAAGTGCACTCTGAGGTCTTTCTTGGTGAGGTGGTCCAGCATCCGTGCATCAACAAGACACTCCATAAAGTAGCTGCGATACTGCGGGAGACCCAAGCTGGGCAGCCACTCATTACCAATCCACTCATGGTTCATGTCCCCATAGGCCAGTGTCTGTGGAGAAGCAAATGGAGAAGCTAGGGAGAAACCAGGGCTTGGTGGAGCTCAGACTCCCAGGAGACCAGTGACAGTTCAGACAGCTGCAGCCTGGGGGTCACTGTCCTGAGGATCAAACCCAGGCCAGAGGAGTTTAACCCTAGTTTGTACTGAAGAAGCTGGAGGGAACAGTCTTGTTGGCCATGGTCTGTGTCCTACTGATGTCTCCCAAGGAGACAAGACCGTAGCCAAAAAGCAAGCATAAGGGATAGCTGGACTTCGACACACTTCTTTTGGAAGCACATTCATGAAAGCGGAAACAACTAGCGAAGAAAGAGGTTTCAGTGCATTCCCAATTTTTTTTTAAGAAGCTTAGAAAAGATCTACTTTATAACTTCAAAATGAAAAAAAGGTCAGTTTGGGGCAGAAAAACAGCCATTCACTTTCACTGCAAGCTGATTCTGGGTCCAAAAATGAAATAAACACCACCAGAAGAAATGTAAAACATTTGAGAATGATAAAACCAGAAGAGATGGATCCAAGCAGAACTCTCTCCTCCCACCTTCTCAGTCCATGAAAATGGTTTGTAACCTGAACTTGGGGCTAAAAAAAAGGTGAAAACTAAACCTGCCTTGCATGCAAGGTGGCTGGTCACTCTCAGGTGGGGGTTTTTAACACAGGATCTGTATCTTACAGAGCAGGTCCAAGAAAAAGTCACCCTGCCTGAAGCAGAGAAGGACACTGCTTGATGGGACCGCCCTGTACTTGAATGATGGCTCAGAGGAGCAACCACAGGGTGCAGGTTCAGACTCGAACAAGGACATGGAGAATACACGTCCCAGGTGCCCCACGATGTCCACATGCCTCCCTCCCACAACCACCCCAGGTACCGCCCATGGAAAAGGGTGACACGGGGACCTCACCTGTGCCCAGCTGCCTTCCTCTGTGTCCTAAGCGTGACACATGCGGCATGTCAATAGAAAGGACAGGTAATGTCAGTACGCGGCGGCCCTGCACCGTGAAAGCATGTGCCGTGTGTGCTGAGCGTGGGACCCCTTGGCACGGCGTGACCCAGAGGGGATGGGGGTCGGTCTCACGGCTGCACGGCCTGGGGAGCTCAGCCTTGTCAGCAGTGTGCTGGGGACACCCCAACCCTGCTGGGTCCCGGTTTCACACCATCTCTCAGACAAGTAAGGAGGATTCAGGGTGAGGCTTTTCTCACGGGCCTTGGGCTGGAGATGGCACAGGCACTGGGGGTCATACACCTTTCCTGGGAAATATGGGTAGTTCTTGGGTCCCCAAAGACAGATGGGTGCAGAAAAGAACCTAAGCTCATAGGTCACAATGCCCAGAGGGGCCGCCCAACCCAATTTGCCGATTTTGTAGCTATTTCCTCCCTTGGCAACCTGTGCTGGTTTTGCTTAAACTCACAACACCCATCAAGTGAAAGTGTCACATCCTTGCCGTAACTCTGAGCTCTCCTTCCCAAAAGGCCCCTGCCAGTTACAGGTCTGTGCTACTCAACCAGCAGACAAAAGCTCCAATAAAATGCCTAATTCATAAAACAAACCGAAAATGCTGCTCCTGCTCTGAGACGCGGACGTGGGGTCATTAAGCTGCAGAGACGGGAGCATGGCTACACCTCTTCAAAGGAGCCAGAGCTTTTGGGAGCACAGCCCCATCCCTCTGAGGGACCCCAAGCTATCAGCCAGTGTAGGGACAGACAGTGGGGACAATATTTGGGTGTGCTAAGGTCAATGGAAGATTAGACTGACTTCTATGGGTGCAGAATGACCAATGTGGGACTCAATCTCATGCATCCATCTTGAAATCACTCTTGGTTTTTGTCTTTTATTTCTTTCCTCTAACAGAACCAACAGGCAAGCTGCTCTAGAAACCCAGCAAAACCTACATGGGCTTGACAAAGGAAAATGCATCTGATGGTTTTTAAGCCAGTTTTAGAAACTGTTGGTATATTAAAGGTTGAAAGATGGTTCCTAAACAGGTGCATGGTGCTGGCCATGAGCTGACACATGAGACGCAGCAAAGATCCCCTTCCCTCCTGGGGTTTAGCATGTTAATGCACGCCTGGAGCTCAGCTCGGTAACTGATACACTGTGCAGCAGCCGTGGGGCTTGGCCAGCCTCACCGTCTTGGTGGAAGTCGCCATGTTCTCCATCTCCTCGTGGGTGACCCAGACATTTCCAGAGGACTGCAGGGAAAAGAGCAGAGTGGTCAGGGTAAACCACCACGGAGCTGTGGCCTCAGTTCATAACCGCACTGGAAACAAGCTCAGCGCAGGCCAATGGAGGATCAGGCCACCCTTGCACTTGAAGCTGTAGTGGGGAGATCTCGAAGTGTCCTTGCAGCTCAGGCTGGTGGTACCCCGCTGCCCAAGACCCTGGGCTGTCCATGCAGCCATGGCAAGTGTAGTAAGGACCACTGGCTCTTTTGCTGCCTCTATACTCTGGTGTTATGCTCATGGAGCCTGCAGGCTTGTCTCTGACAGCTGTGACCCCAGCCATGCCCGTCTGAGGGGGACGCAGCACACTTGGGGCCTTCCTTTCTGCTGGCTGCATTTCTACAGATGTGTCTTGGCATTACTGGGGCACCACTAACCCCTTGAGGGGTTTGGGGACCAGCACAAGACACGATTCCTCCGTCTGCTCCATGTCCTATACAGGGCAAGGCTGGGATCTGCAGTTGCTCTGACTTGCCCCAGGAATTTCACACGGTCCCAGGAAAAGTCTTGTATTGAAATGACTGAGAAAATGGCTGTGCATAACCCAGTTGACTCTGTAAATCATGCATATGGTCTTTGGATGGGACTTTATCCTCTCCAGGGCAGACAGTTCCTGAGCTTTGCTCTTTGCAGGCTGCTCAGCTGGGTCAGCCTCTTGCTGACAGCCGCTGAGTGTGAGGACAACAGCATCTGCTGGTGCCTCAAGACAGGGAAGTGCCTCACACTCCATGGCTGTATCTGATCTTTGTGCCTGAGGATAAGTGTCTGGTGGTTTGACCAGTCCATGAGGGAACGTCACCCCGTTCATGGCTGCACTTGCCTCTAACACTGGGACTCCCTGGTGACCGGTGGACCACTGTGGTCCCAAGGAGTCATGGAAAGGAGGGAAACAAGTGTGTTGTCCTGCCCCATGGAGGGTCTGTCTGGGGAAAGAGGGGGTCTGTAGCAGGGAGCACTTACTGTCCGTGAGGTGGGTGGTGCCGAGGGGCTCGTGAGCGAGACCATCTCCTGGATGGCCAGACGCAGCTTCAGGCGATGCAGCGCATTGCTGATGCCGATCTCCCTCTGGATCTCAGTGTCAGACAGGGCCGACATGATGGCTCCACTCTTCACGTTGGCTCGGCAAGCGGCAACGTACCAGGCCGGCATCCCCACCCAGAGCTGCCAAAAGAGGGCAAAGACAGTGACTGCCCGCTAGACCTACCCATCTGGTAGGATCAAGGCCAGCCTGTTTGAAGCTCAGTATCAAAGCTGGATACCCACGTGGGGATCCTTTTTTGTTTGCACCTTGCACAGACGGCCTGCGGGCAGCCCAGCGTCCCTATACCTGATGGACACAGCACAGGCAAAGAGCACCTTCTGGGCCTTTCAACTCAAAGCTCTACTCAAACCACCACTCTACAGAGTATGTGAGGGATCTGGGGATCTGCTCTGCTCCCCCAGGTTTTGCAGCCATCAACCACGTGCATGGACCAAGCACGGTGGGACTGCAGGGTGCTGTATCGCTGCCAGGGGAGCACACTACAGACTGGTGGCGACAGCAAAGCCATCGGTGCACGGGAATGATGCATGGGCACGCTCTGCCTCACCTCCAGCCAGGAGACAACGGTGGGACCATCCCAGTGAGCAAAGGGCAATCCTTTCCTCCGAGCCTCTTCCAGGAGTTCGTGCCTGGAGGGAACGGAAGCAGAAGAGTGATTTACTGGGGGCTTCCGGGGAAAGGAGCAGCTCTTGAAAGGGAATAAACCATGGGCAGTAAGAATCAGCTGGTAACAATAAAGAAGCTAACAGGGCTTAAGAGAGGGTGAAGATGAGAAGTCTTCCCAGTAATTCCCAGTCCCATGCCACGGCTTCTCAGCCATCGGGCAGGACACTTTCTCGCTGGGGCAGGGAAGGAGGTTCACTCACTTCTTCCGCAGCCGCCGATCCTTCTCGGCCTGAGCACCCAGCTTGCCAAGTCCCAGAGGGTCCTGCATGCCCACCTCCATGTCTGTCAGCAGCACTACTGGGCAAGCAAAACATCCTCAGGTCAGTGTGACGTCCCATGAGTTCAGTGTGGGCACCGCCACAGTCCCCATGCCAGGGTGTTGGGGACGCACAATCGCAGCATAGGAGATGACATTTCCAACCCACCCCCACAGCCCCCCCTGCATCCCTGGGAAGCCCAAGGGGATCCCCACCTGCCATCCCTCCCATTTCAAGATGCTCAACATCGAAGCAGTGAAGGATTTAGGAGCGGAAAAGCAGCTCCCACCAAAGGGCTGTGCAAAATCAAGAAGGTCCCACAGGGAGGGAAGCAGATTTGGGACATTAAAGATAAGATACAGTGATGGAGGGGGTCATTATTCTCACTGCTGCTCTTGCAGAGCATTAAGGGTAATACCATGCTCAGGCCAGAAAGGGCTGTGGGGCAGAAATCACCAGGACCCAACTGCCCTGAAGCTGCAGGGAGCCCAGAAACAGTGGCCCCAACATCCCCAAACCAGCAGGGGTGTCCCTGCTCCTCTGCCTGTCACCCCAACAGCACCCCAAAGCCAGACAGTGCCAGGAGGCGTGCTGAGAGCCCGGCCTGAGAGGATGCCCGCCCGGCACGCACAGGAATAGGGCTGCTCACGGACCCTGCCCCGTGGCCCCTTCTCTGCTCAGCTGAATCAAGCGACCCTTCTCTTTTTTCCCGAACAAGCGCCCGATGGAGGATTTGATCCCCTTCCTCTTGGAGCCCTTGTGCAAGGAGTCCTGGCTGCTGTTGCTGCTGGGGTTGCTGGCCTGCTCCTCCAGTGAGCTGGGGATGGAGGAGGGAGAGGAACAGCAAAGCCTTTAGGTTATTCCCGAGCAGCGCACAAGCCATGGCAAACCCCAGCCCGTCCCACAATCCCACGCTGGCCCCATGTAAATCCTCAAACCGACAGAGCAGGCACTGGCGTGAGATCCAAAGGGTGCTCCACGTACCTCTTCCCATCCTCCTGACTCAGCGCAGGGTGGCCCAGCTTCTCCAGCCGCAACGTCCTGGGTGAGGATGGGGGGGACGTCTCACATTTGATGGTGGTTTTATCCTCTCGGCTTTCATCCCGAGCTGCAGGTGACTGAATAAGCAGAGAAGCCATGAGGCTGGGCAGCCACAGCCCGGCTCCATCCTTGCCCTGCTGCCTGCCTCTCTCTTGCTCCATGGAGGCATGGCCAAAAGAGCCACCAGGGCCCTGAGGCTTTGCCACGCTCCAGGATTGGCCTGAACTAGAGCTCTGGCAATGGCTCGAGATGCCCAAGCAGATGGAGAGGATGTGGCCGTATGGCCAAGATCCTGGGAATAGGGAGGAGAGAGGATGCAGCCCCATGGTCCAGGTCAGGGTGTGGGGAGAAAAGCTGCTGGCCCTCAGCAGAGGGCTCTGAGAAGAACAGATGGGAATGTCCCAAAGACACCCTTGTCGCCAAAGGGGACACAATGTTTGAGGACCCAGTGGCTTTCTGAACCTCCCCATGTCCTGCCAGACCCCCCAGGCTGCCAGATGGCACATCTCCAA